CCCAAGAGTAGATACAAACAACACAAAATCAAGTTTTTCATATAATACATTTAATTTTGATACAAAAATATGTGAAACAAATAAATGTGAGGTACTAGTATCAATCAAAATATGTGTAAGATGATTACAAATAGTTTACGTACCATGTACCACGTCTGGGTTGGATTCTGCATCTTTTTGAGTGAGGTTGTAAGTTCTACCCTGAATAGGAGGTCTGACTTGGTTCTGGTTCTTCAGGCACTCCCTTGCATAATATTGGGTACTACCACATATGTGGCAAGTGTTGTTGAGGTGATAGCAGGGTCGGTCCCCATGATCCTTACCACAGTGCTTATAGGTCCTACCATGTCCTGTTGTTGGAATCTGAGGGGGAGCCTGAGTCATCGACCTGGGTATATTATTTTGTTGAACAGATGCAATAGATGCTGGTCTACGGTGTGGAGCCAAGGGCCTGAGGCTCCCTACTACTTGAGAAAAAATATGAAGGTTCCTCTCCACTAACTGTGCCTTGGCCAGAACAGCTGAGTAAGTACTGAGCTTGAACACATACAACCGCTGTACTGAGCTCGAACACATACAACTGCTGTCTGATCTCAAAACAGAGACCCCACTTGGACTTTTTTGTATTTCTGTCTTCATCCATCATGCTATCAAGGGAATACTGGCCCAACTCTAGGAACTTTTGAGCATATTTTAATACAGTCATGTCCCTCTAGACCAAGTGTGCAAACTCCATTTCTTTCAAATGTCGGAGATGCTCTAAAAGGTGCTCTGCATGAAAGGCCATAAGGAAGTATTCCCAAGTGACTGGAACAGGCAGGGTCATGCTTGAGTTGTCATTAGTGACCTGCCTCTCTCACCAGCATGTAGGTAGTAAGGATGACTCTCTGTTCGAAAATCACCTCAAGAGTTGTGAAGGCCTTCTCTGTCTCAACTAACCAGTGACCTCTTCAAAAGAGAATCTCCCTACAAAAATAAATGAGTTTAGTCTTTTATACCTCTCAATATAGGCTGGGTCCATCATGGGAAGAAATGGATCATGTGGAAGAGGGACTGGACTATGCTGAGGATGGATTGGATGGCCCTGCAGTGGTACTGGATGATATGGTGGAAGCACTAGATTGTATTGTGGCGGTGCCGGGTGATGCGGTTGAGGCACCGGGTCATATTGTGGTGGTGTCGGGTGGTACTGTAGAAGAGCAGGGTCGTATCGGGGTGGCTCGGGATCCTCTTGCTGCAAGGGTGGCTTAACCTGTGGCAGCGGTGGAGGGTCAAATAGCTCTCTCATTTGCTCTCGGGTCTGCTGGGCAGCGATGAGTCTCTCCAACATCTCAAATAACCGGTCAATATCCTCTCAAAGCGAACCCTTCCGGGTTGCTCAATTTAG